AATGAACAAAACTCATTTGAAATTTTATTCAGATTTGATTAAAAACACACCAACAATCAAAACCCAGATGAAATTTTAGTCAACTTCGATTGGAAACGTGCCAATGAACAAAAATCAAGTAAAATTTTATTCAAATTTGATTAAATACACACCGACAATCAAAACCCATATGAAATTTTAATCAAATTGGATTGGAAATGTACTAATGAACAAAACTAAGGTGAGATTTCATTCAGATTTTATTGATGACACACCAACAACCAAAACCCAAATGAAATTTTAGTCAAATTTGATTCAAAATGCACCAATGAACAAGACCCAAGTGAAATTTTCTCACATTTGATTGGAAACGCACAAATGAATGAAACCCAAGCTGAATATCAATAAATTTTTATTGGAAACGTGCCGATTAATAAGATTCGGGTGAAATTTAGTCAAATTTGATTGAAAACATGCCAACAATCAAAACCCTGATAAAATTTTAGTCAATTTCGGTTAGAAACATGCTAACAATCAAAATCTCGATGAAGTTTTTGTCAAATTTGATCGAAAATGAGGCAATGATCAAAATCCTAATGAAATTCTAGTCAAAATTTATTGGAAACATGCCAAGACTAAAAATGCTGATGAATTTTTTGTCAAATTTGATTGGAAACATGCCAAAGAACAAAACCTTGATGAAATTTTAGTCAAATTCGATTGGAAACGGGCCAATGATCAAATCTTGATGAAATTTTCGTCGAATTTGATTGGAATCACGCAAACGATCATAACCTTATGAAATTCTAGTCCAATCTGATTGGAAACATATGAACAAAACCTAGGTGAAATATCTGTAAAATTAGATTGGAAATGTGCCAACAAACAAAATTTGGTTGAAATTTTAATCAAATTTGATTCAAAATTTTATTCAGATTTGATTGATAACACACCAACAATCAAAACCCAAATGAAATTTTAGTCAAATTTGATTCAAAACGTGTCAATAAACAAAACCCAAGTGAAATTTTGTCACATTTGATTGGAAACACACTAGAACGAAATCAAGGTTAAATATTAGCAAAGTTTGTTTGGAAACTGGCAACGAACAAAATCTAGCTTAAATGTAGTCAAATTTGATTGGAAACGCGCTAATGAACAAAACTCAAGTGAAATTTTGTTCATATTTGATTGATAACACACCGACAATCAAAACATAAATGAAATTTTAGTCTAATTTGATTCAAAATGCGCCAACAAACAAACCCAAGTGAAATTTTGTCACATTTGATTGGAAACACACTAATGAACGAAATCAATGTTAAATATCAGTAATTTTTTATTGGAAATGTGGCGATGAACAAAATTCGGGTAAAATGTAGTCAAATTTGATTGGAAACGTGCTAATGAATAAAACTCAGTTGAAATTTTATTCAAATTTGATTGATAACACAAAAACAATCAAAACTCAAAAGAAATTCTAGTCAAATTTGATTCAAAATGCACCAACCCAAGTGAAATTTTGTCACATTTGATTGGAAACACACTAATGAATGAAACCAGGGTTAAATATTAGTAAATTTTGATTGGAAACATGGCGACGAACAAAATTTGGGTGAAATGTAGTCAAATTTGAATGGAAATGCGCCAATGCACAAAACTCAGGTGAAATTTTAGTCAAATTTTATTGAAAACGCGCCGGAAACGTGCCAACGATCAAAATCCTCATGAAATTTTTGTCAAATTTGATTGAAAACATGCCAACGATCAAAATCCTAATAAAATTTTAGTCAAATTTGATAGAAAATGAGGCAACGATCAAAATCCTAATGAAATTCTAGTCAAATTTTATTGAAAACGTGCCAAGACTCAAAACCTTGATGAATTTTTCGTCAAATTTGATTGGAAATACGCCAATGAACAAAACCTAGGTGAAATTATATTCAGATATGACTAAAAACAAACCAGCAATCAAAATCCAATTGAAAGATTAGTCAAATTTGATTGGAATCCCGCCAACAATCAGAATGATGGAAACGCGCCAACCATCAAAACCTTGATGAAATTTTAGTAAAATTTGATCGCAAAGGTGCCAGCGAAAAAAACCTAATTTAAATTTTAGTCAAATTTTTCTGGAAATGCTCAAATGCACAAAACGCCGATGAAGTTTTTGTCAAATTTAATTAGAAACGCGCCAATGAACAAAATTCAGGTGAAATTTTTTTTAGATTTGATTAAAAACACACCAATGATCATAACCCAGATGAAATTTTAGTCAAATTTGATTGGAAATGCTCCAATAAACAAAACTCAGATGAAATTTTATTTAGATTTGATTGATAACACACCAACAATCAAAACCAAAATGAATTTTTTGTCAAATTTGATTCAAAACGCACCAACGAACAAAACCCAAGTGAAATTTTGTCACATTTGATTGGAAACACACTAATAAACAAAATCGAGGTTAAATATCAGTAAATTTTGATTGGAAACATGGTGACAAACAAAATTCGTGTGAAATGTAGTTAGATTTGATTAGAAATGTGCCAATGCACAACACTGAGGTAAGATTTTTGTCAAATTTGATTGAGAACACGCCAACGATCAAAACCCTGATAAAATTTTAGATAAATTTGATTGGAAATGGGCCAATGATCAAAAC